GGCACAGGGCTTTCTCAGCGGGGACCAGCTGACATCGCTTGCAGTTTGGATGAGTGTACCTAGGGTGTGACTGAAGGCCACACCGGAGCAAGGAAATCCACAGGAGTCAGGGAAATACCTCCCAACACATAAACGCCAGTGTGCTTTGTCAGCAGTCGAGGGAGGAGCACAGAGGCGCTGGAAGGAAGGAGGAAACTGGCCTTTTATTCCTCTGGTATTTGGGGCTGGGTATTGTCTTATTGATCCGTACAACAGTCCTTAAACATGGATATTATTATACTCATTTTACGGGTGAGGAAACTATAAAACAGGAAAGGGATTAAGCACTCTGCCCAAGGTCATACGACCGGGAAGTGATAGGATCAAGAGTTAAGTGAAACTCGTGTGAACCCAAAATTCACCATCCTCCCTGCTTCTCCAACCAACTGGGGAAACACAGGCTCACATGGAAACACAGGCTCATTACATCGGCCCAATTGTTCAAGCTAATGTTGGCAGTCATTCTGGAACATGCCCCCACGCACTCTCTTCCATCACCAGCAGGCCTTCATCTGGCCAGGTCATTCAGAAAAGGACTGGCCCAGGGATGCTGACACACCTGCAAATCTCAGCACCGGAGGGGGAGGGGCAGGAGGAGCAGGAGTATGAGGCCAGCCTGTACCTCTCTCTCAAAACCCAAAACAAGGGCTGGAGAGATGGCTTGTCGGTTAAGAGCACTGGCTGCTCTCCAGAGGACCAGGGTTCAATTCCCAGCACATGATGGCTCGCAATCATGTATAATACAGCTCTAGCTCCAGGAGATCTGCCACCACAGGCATGTCGCACATGTACCTCTATGCATCCATACACACAAACAAACAAGCGAATGAATAAATAAAACACGGGCCAGCACAGCTGACTTGGGCATGTTTCCTAACATTACTAACTAATCTTGCTAGGTCTGGTCTTTTTCTGTAAAAAGAAAGTTTCAGTACTAACCACCTCACCCATTTCCTCTGAGGCTGCGGAACACAGAGAGGATGCTAAGACAATACTGAGAACACTACAGAACACTACAGAGAGCAGATACTGAGATGATGCCAAGAACACCACGGATGGGGATGGGGACTTCGGTGTCATCATTTATCATGTGCTTCCACTTTTCCGTGCATCTGAACTTTCGCCCAAGGGCACTCTTTTTTCCCTTCTTTAAGTACAGCTGAGAAAAATCCCTGGACCAGTGTGGTTACACAGGCCTTTAATCCCAGCACTAGGGAGGCAGAGGCTAGGCTAGTTTACACAGGGAGTGTGAGGTTAGCCTGGGCTATAGAGTGAACCCTGTCTCAAATAAATAAAAACAAACAAAAAAGTAGTCTGTGGGGGCAGCAGTGCTGGGTGTCTGGAATGCGTTGGGAAGGCCCAGGAAAGGGAGAAAAGCAATGTTTAGAAGGTCTGGTGAAGAGAGGCAGTGCCGCAGGTACAGTGAGGAGCTGTGTTTCCAAGGAGGCTTGTGATCTTTGACTTCTCTCTGAAAGGAGATACTAGGAGCCTTCCTCTAGGGAGTTTTCAGGAAGAAGGAATAGCAGCTAGAGTTCCTAGTCTGCTTAACCAGGGTGAGGAAATTCCATTCCCTCTGTTCTGAGGGGAATTTCCCATCAAGGCAGCCAGTGACAGGGTTGGTTGGCTAGCTGAAAGAGCAGAAGAGCAGGTTCTGTCCTGAGCCCTGGAGCCAGCATCAAGTTCCAGCGCAGCCAGCAAAGCTGTGACCTTGAAGTCACCTCTTAAGGAGGTTATCTTCGAGGTCCTTCTCAGTTCTAACACTTTCTATGATCAGAAAAAATAAGCATCATCCGTCACTTACAAAACCAGACACCAGGGGCTGGGAGACAGCTTAATGGTGCGGGGGAGGGGGGTGTGTGAGCGCTTGCTGAGCTGGCCTGGGAGCTGAGCTGAGACCTCTGGTGAAAGCTGTTGCACTATTGCTGGCCCCAGGAGGAGCCAGCTAGCTCATGGCTTACTCATGGGCAAAGAGATCCAGGCTTCAACAAGGTGAAAGGCGGGACTGATATCTGAAGGTTGTCCTCTGACCTCCACACTCAGGCTATGGTATGTGTACAACCACACAGACGCAGACAGACAGAACGGACACACACACACACACACACACACACACACACACACACACAGGGACACGACACACACAGAGAAATACCAAGCAAATCCAATTCAAATACACTAAAACAAGAAAGCGGTCCTAATTTTCCCAGAGCCTCCTAAGCCCAGATGTACTACCAGAGATGCCCAGAAGAAGACAAAATAACTCAATCTGGTTATCCTGACAGGGGAAGCGAGTGAGGTGGGAGCCTAAGGAATTCTCACGGTCATGCTTCCACTCCTAACAACAGGGAACCGAAGATTCAGCAGAGCTGGGGCTGGGTGTGGGGAGCATCTTTCTGGGCCCCTGTCCTTAAGAAGCCTTTTCATCAAAGGTGGCTGCAGTCTGGTGCCATCTTTTGGGCAATTCAGGGAATCTATAACAAATATATTCTGCATCTCAGCTGCCGGCCTGTTCTGTCTCTTGTGGTGACACTAAGCCATGAGCATGGGATATGCAAAGTAGCTTTCCTGTTTCAAGTCCCACCTCTGTCGTGTCCTGGCTGGCTGACACCAGTGTTAGCTATTACGGCTTTTTTGTTTTTGTTTTTTTGCCAGGTCAGCATTGGCCTGTCTGCAGACAGTAAGCAGCCTTTGGAAAGTCTTTCTCCCAATTCCCTACAAATACTAAGCAGCCTTTCCCTCCCAGTTCCCATCTGTCAGCTCTATTTAAAGAGGAACACACAAGGAATAGTATTTATATTATTGCGCCATGCTTCCCTATATCCAGAGAGAAAGGTTCTGGAATGTTCCCTACTCCATATTCCCCTCAGTTTACTCCATCAACACCCCTGGCTGTTCTTCCTCTCGTAGGACAAATGCTACAGCCATCATGGAGGGGAGGGGACGCTGTCCTTTGCAGTTTGCAGACTGCTCTTGCACGTGTCATTTCATTTGGTGAAGCACCACATTTAAAACAATCCCATGAGCCACAGATACTTTCCCTCCCGTTTTACAAATATGGAAATAAAATCAACTTCACCACTTGTCCATGTTCACGTCTAGAAAGTAAGTCTCGCCAGGCCTCACTCAAAGTCGGGCCTCATGACACTTTCTCTACCATCCCTCATGGTGTGGACCAAGTGTACATCCTGGAGGTATGAGGAACTTGAAGTCTGTGATCAGTCACAACACACAAAGAAACAGACACGCCTCCCTTTTTCTCTCGGATGGCCCCAGCAGACACACAGCACCTGTAAAATACAGGGGCAAAGCACCACAAGGGACCTAAAGGCCCACAGGGTGTGGAGTTTTTGTTGGAACACAATTAGGTCTAGGGAGCAAAAAAAGCAGACATTCTAGACCACCAGGCAAATCCAAAGGAGCACCCCAGAAAAATACCAAGGGCCCCCAAAACTAATTGACCATCCCTTACCCAGTATTCCAGTGGAAAGGAAAATGGATAGGCTGCCTTCTGGCCAGGTCTGGGATCTCCATCAGATTCAGACATACACACCCATACACTCAGTAGTAAGCAGAAGCCAAACCCTGAGCTCACCCAGAAGCCAAAGGAGAGAAGCAGCCCTAGCCTGGGTCCAGGGCTCTCTCTCAAAGCCACTGTCTGCTCAGATGCTGGCTGTCAGGCATAGCTATAAAATGTGCCTCAACTTAATTTTTCCGTGAACGCAGCCCCACATGGAACTGCCAGGCTCCGGAGGAGCAGCAGTTCCTCATGCTCACAGACAGGGTTCCAGGAGCTACAGCTGGAGAGGGGAGAATATTTGTGGGCCCAGGCTGCCATTCCTGGACCATGTCTCTCCTGAATATCTTTCCAAGGCCTCAGGGAAGCAAAGAGAGTAAGTTTTCATTCAGGACTGTTTAGGGGCTGGAATTCAGAGCAAATTGCTTACATCTGCTTGGTCATTCCCAGACAAGCAGGTAGTTTAGAGAAAGAAGGGGCCATATTAGCCCACTTCTGGTAGCCCAGGTAGCCTGCTAAAGAATCTCCGGCCTGCTAGGGCTCAGCAGTCCAGACTGCTGAACTCTCTGACCAAGTTGAATAAAAATACCAGGGCAGTCAGAGACAATAGGACTTCCACCCTAAGCATGACTGGTGAGCTGGGACAGGGAAACCACAAAGATCCCAAAAAGGGAGGTGAGATGTAGAGCCAGGTTACCCAGAAGGAGCAAGAGCGATGGCAGACTCCACGCACACTTCAACCTCAGCCAACAAGGGTGTATGCACTAACCTCATACATTTGGTAACCTCTTTCTACATCCCAAAAGCCTGCCAAAGCCCCTGGACTCCCCACCCCACCCCAGCTTGGCAGCCTTGCCGAGGATTCCAGCTTCTATCACACCAGAAACACCAAAGCTGCTGCTGTATGGAACTGAAAAAAACGAGGGACAAGTACAGCCCAGACGAGGAGCTCCTTCCCGGAGGGGCCGGGGACTCGGGCCTGAGGGTCCCAGGCTCTCCTGCAAGCTCTCAGTCTTTGGCTGCTGCAGTATCCTTATAAGGCCAATCCTACCCTCCTCCTGGCCGAAAAATGTATACAGTCCCGAGGGTGGACGCTGACTTCTCACCCGCTGTACAGGAAGCACCACTCCCATCACCCCCACTCCAGGACAGGTTTTGCTCTTAAACAAACTAATAAACAAATCGACTCCAAAGCGGTCCCCCGGCTCAGCTCGCCCTGCAGCTGCACCCGGGAAGTGTGTTCCGGAGGAGGCAGGGGTGACCGCCCGCGAGGCCCCGAGTCGCTAGCGCGCCGTGGCGTGGGGGCGAGCAACCTGCCAGGCGCCTGGGACCCGACTGGGCTCTCGGCGCTGCCATTGTTGCCCCTGGCGCTAGTGCTTTGGGGCGGGAGCCCTGCCCTCGTCGCGCTGGCTAGCTGGGCGCTCTGCAGCCCCCGGGCGGTGCTCACCTCCGAGTACTCGTCCTACCTGCGCTGGCCGCGGGTTCCGCCGCGACACCCTGACTGTCGTGGTTGGGCGACTTGGGCTCCCACGCCCCGGCTCGCTCTGAGGCTCCAGGAGGCTCCGGTCCCCGCGTGCTGTGCAGTACCGCCCGCTCCCCTCGCCCGCCCCGCAACGACTCTGGGATCCCCGCTGCAGGGGACGCACGGGCAATCGACGGGTGTGGGGGGTCGGTCCGGGGCCCGGTGCTGTCTGCGGGGAGCGTGCACGAGCTCGCAGTCAGTCAGGCGGCCCCGGGTGAGACAATAGCGCGAGCGGCGGGCGAGCGGGGAGAAGCCATCTCCCGGACAGCCGGCGCACTGCACGGCGTGCTAGGCTCGCCCGCTCCTGCCAGCACCGCGGCCCAGGCCGCCGGCAGCAGCCGCAGCGCCGAATCGCCAAGACGCCCGAGCCGAGAGGGCGGGGCGGCGGGAACCTGGCCCCCACCCTCCCTCTCTTCCTCCCGCCTCCCGCCTCCGCACCGTGCTCGGCGTCCTGAGCGGACCCCGGGGCCAGCAGTCCCACTCCCCGATAGCAGATGGTCGTTGCTTTCCAGGCTGGAACCCTTTGCTCTGAGGTCAGGTGAAAGCAAGCCAGATCACCCTATTGGAAGGGACACGGGGTGGGCGTTCAGTTGCCGGTTTGAGGAATTTCTCTCATAATTATGCATGCTAGGGATGCCCGAAAGAACTACCACCTTGATGGAGGAGGTGCAGGTGCAGATGTTGGCACTTTTCTCTCCCGTTTACCCAAGGGCGGTCTTCAAACCTGTGCGGGGAGGAGAAGCGGAGGAGCCTCCAAACCAATTAAGATAGGAAGAAAACTTTGAAACTGTTATTTTCTCTGAGCACCTCCCTTAAAGAACCTGTGTCAAGCGTTTTCCAGAAGGCTCCACCCAGTACTGGCCAACTCTACGTTTGCGTCTGGTTTGCTAAATAACTCGGATCTCCAAGTCCCCTTTCCTCAATCATGGATCTTGTTCTCTGCTCTCTTCCTTTCTTGCCTTTTTCTCCCCTTTCCAGTCACATTGTGAAGCTCATGGTTCTCAACCCTCCTTCTCAGAACCCCTTCAAGCACTGGGGGAACCTCAGCTCTGATGCCCACTGCCCTCCAGCCAAAACTCCCATGGAAACAGCTGCTAAGCATACTTAAGATGCTACCATTCCTGTCTGTTAAAGTCAGAAATGTCTTTATAAAACTTATGTGACCTTTAATTGTTTCCCCTATTTATATGAAACTCTGCAATAAACCCAAATAGTTTTCCAAGAGACAAGAGCTAATGGCCTTCCTAGACTGGTAGAAGTAGAAACTGGGAAGGGCTCAAAAAGAGGAGAAACATCAAGTAGAAAGGGAGCTTGAGGGGTTGAGAGATGGCTCAGAAGCTAAGAACACTGACTGCTCTTTCAGAGGACCAGGGTACAATTCCCAGCACCCACATGGCAGCTCATAACTGTCTGTAACTCCAGTTCCAGTGGGTCTGATTCCCTCAAACACCAATGCATATAAAGAGAAAAAGAAAGAGAGAAAGAAAGAAGAAAATAAAGGAAAAGAAAAGAAAAGAAAAGAAAAGAAAAGAAAAGAAAGGGAGTTTGAACAACTAGAGGAAGTCTTACACAGTCCTATGGAAGAGAAAGCAATACAAAAAGAGAGTTCACAAGCCCGGCCTGGTGCTGCGAACCCTCTATTCCAGCACTTGGGAGGCTGAAGCAGGCAGATCAGGCAGCTCCCCAGTGGTGTGTAACTCTAGGGGGATCTGTTGCTTTCTTCTGGCCTCTGCAGGCATCCACATGCATGTGCACATACCCACACAAACATAAACTAAATCTTAACCAAAACAAACAAAAAATGAGTTCACAGTACTAAACTATTTGGGGAAGAGTATTGTTTTGTTTTCATTGAAGATGAACTCTGGGCCAATGGAAAGGAACCTTGTGGGCATTACCAGGCAAGGTCGAGGAGCCTGTGGGAGTTCAATCAGGTTCCAGTGGTTTGAAGAGTAAAAGACAGGTTCTAGAAGCTTATCACCCAGAGGAGAACTATAATGCAGGAGACAGAGGAGCGTGAAGGATTACCAAAGGTGTTATTACTTGGCACAGGTTTCCACACGTAGCTCAGGCTGGCATTTGAACTTGCTATGTAGGCCAAGCTGACTTCAAAGTCCTGATCGTCTGTTTCCTGAGTGCTGAGCCACCACATTTGGCTTGGTTTTCTTCTAAGACGAGGAAGAAGCGTGTTCATAGGTTGAGAGGGAAGAGCAAGGTAAGAAAGGAAGAAAAATGAAAACTGTCCCAACTGAAGAAAGGACACGGGACAGAGCATATGGTAAAGTTGTCTGAGATGTCTTTGAGTGGAGAGACTCAGGGGCAGATGGCATCTATGGACTGCTACATCTAGAGGCTGTGCCCTGAGGAAAAAGACCGTGCTCCTTGACAGTCTCTAAGCAATCTGTGAGAGAAAGGGAGTCCAACCAGAAGTGAAAGCTGGGCATGGTGATACACCCTTCTAATCCCAGCACTCAGGAGGCAGAGGCAGGTGGACTTCTGAGTTCGAGGCCAGGTTGGTCTACAGAAAGAGTTCTAGGACAAGGGCTACACAGAGAAACCCTGTCTCAAAAAAAAAAAAAAAACAAAAACAAAGAAACAAAAGATAGAATTGAAGACTTAAGGAAAACGGTTAAAGTTAAAATAACCATAGAAATGATGGGGTATATAGCTCAGTTTACAAAAGGCCTCCTTAAACCCCAGCACCAAGAGAGGAGTAGGGATGGGGGCAGCAACTGCTCACAGCTAACATAGAAGTCACAGCTAGTATTGGGTATTTTAGTACTGTGCTGATGCTATCTGAATGTTTCCTTCTGTAGCACTTAGACACCCAGGTACAACATTGAGCCAGAGTTGCAGGTGTATGGGAGAGGTTCAGCAGAAGGGTAAAGAAGAGGGCTCTAGCCTGATGGTGGTAGTGCAGGCCTCTAACCACAGCAGGCAGAGGCAGAGGCAGGTGGGTCTCCAAAGCCAGCATGGTCTACACAGCAAGTTCCAGGACAACTAGGGCTACACAGAGAAACACTATCTCAGAAAAAAAAAAAAAAGTGAAGAAGAAAAGAAGAAGAGGAAGAGGAGGAGGAAGAAGACAGCTCTTAGCAAGATGAGATTGCCTAAAAGAAGGAAGTGAAGCTAAGAAAAGGCTTTAAAACTTTTTAAAATTCTTTTATCTTTTTTTATTCGTTAACTGATGCTCTCCTCCCCATACTAGCTCTGTAGACCAGGCTGGCCTCGAACTCACAGAGATCCACCTGCCTCTGTCTCCTGAGTACTGGAATTAAAGGCATGTGCCACACTATTGCCCGGCTTAACTGAAGTTTTTGAGACAGAATCTCTCACTATGTAACCTTGGTTGGTCTGGAACTTGTTACCAGACTGTTCTTGGATAGAGAGCCTGCCTACCTCTGCCCCAGAAGGGGAATGAAGGTATGTGCCACCACAAACAGCCCTTACTGTAGTTTTGAAACTTCTGTGTTCATGGAGCCGCCAAAAGTGCCGGACACATATGGCTTCCTATGATTTCAAATTTAAATTCCCAAAGAAAGTCTATGAGACCTTTTGTAGCTGGCCCCTGCTTTTCACTCTAGCCTCAGAGGAAAGTCCTTGTCTCACTCATCGCTGTAGCCCAAATTGATACCTGCCACAGTGTGTTCAGCGGATGTATGTTTTACTCGGTCAGCAGAACTTCCGGCGGAAGGAATGGCCATCTCCTCACCTCCAAAATGAAAGGAGGTGCTCTATGGCAAGCAGAAGGACTTCGCAGGCGTGGTTAAGGCCTTGGAGATTAAGGAGTGAGATGATCTAATCACTCCAGCCCCTGACACTGGACAGTCTCCCCCAGCGGAAGCCAGAGGGGCTGTGCTGACGGAAGAACACTTGGAAAACTTATGTTGCTGGCCTGACACTCTAGAGATGAGGCATGGCAAGAAACAGAGGACACTCAGCACTGCTGTCACCTGGACCTCAGTGACAGTCGGTGGACTTCCAACCTGCTGAGCTGTAAGGTCAGGGGACCGGAGGTTGTTTTTGAGAGGAGGTCTGATACGGCCCGACTAGCTTCAAACTTGCTCTAAGGGTGGTCTCGAACTCTAGATCTCCTGCTCGGCACCTCCCAAGTGCTGAGATTATGGCCTTTGCACAGACACTTGGCCCATATTGGTCTGTTTGGCAGCACTGGGGACTGAACACAGACAGGATGCCATGCGTGAGAGGCAACACTCTACCTCTGAGCTACAGACCTAGGCCTAGCTCTCTGTGCTTTAAAATCCACTTTACTGGGTTGGGTGTGATTTGTTATGGTAGCAATAGTAAATATTATACTTAATAATACTTATTTTAGTAATTTAATTAATTGTTGGGGGTTTATTTGTTTGTTTGATTGGTTTTTGGGTTTTTGAGACAGGGTTTCTCAGCTTTGGAGCCTGTCCTAGAACTTGCTCTGTTGACCAGGCTGGTCTTGAACACACAAAGATCTGCCTGTCTCTGCCTCCCTGAGTGTCAGTGCTGGGATCAAAGGGCATGTGCCACCACCGTCTGGCTATTCATTAAGTTTTTTAATTTAAAAGAATGTTTATTGTCCTGGTTCCCAGGGGAAGCTTCTCTACAGGGCCTCCTTACACACTCTTAATTTTTCCCCCCTTTTTATTTGAGACAAAGTCCCTCAATGGTCCAGACTGAGACTAGCTGCCCAGTGAACTCTGAACCCTTGTCTCAGCCCATCTTGCCATCTCTGGGATTACAAGAGAACTACAATGTCGGATATTTTCAGTGTAGATATTGGAGATCTGAACTCAGGTCTTCATGTTTTCAAGGTAAGCCCTCTACCAACTGAGATCTGTCCTGAGTTCTCTTGTCTTCTACTGTCCTCTGCTTCTCTCTGTCTCTTTTAGGGGGAGGGTAACTTGTTTGTTTTTATTGAAAGACAGGATCTCACTATAGTCTGATTTGGTCTCAAACTCACAACAGTCCTCCAGCCACTGCCTCTTTGTCTGTTTGTTTATCGAGACAGGGTTTCTCTGTGTAACTTTGGGGCCTGTCCTGAACTCATTCTATCTAGATCCAACTGCCTCTGTCTCCCCGAGTGCCCCAGCTGGGTTTGGCACCGCCTGCGCGTAATCTCAGTCCAGAAGGAAGGAAAGAAGGATGACGAGCTCAAGGCCAGACCCGGATATAGGAGACCTCATCTCAAAAATAACAAAGGCTAGAGAGATGGCTCAGCCCTTAGAGCACTCGCTGCCTTCAGAGGACTGGGATTCAATTCCCCGACCCACATCAGGCTGCACACAACTGTCTGTAACTCCAGTTCCAGAATTTCAAAGCCTCCTCTGGCCTTCACAGGCATGGTCTCCACTTG